GCGAATACTCACCTGTGTCCATACATGCAATAAATCGGGTAGAAAACCCAAATTGAAACAGCTCTATAGTCATATCCAAGTCCAGCAGTACGAGGTATTGGCTGAGTGACAGTCCTGGTAAGCTGGGCACACAGGCAGAACCACCTGGCAAAGAAAGCCAGATGCTGAATGCACTGAGCAATATAAAATCTGGAAATGACACTTAAGCATCAGGACCGTATACGCATTACATCGACACACTTACCATAATGAACGCAACGTTTGTTGCAGCCTAGCTAAGGTGGGAGAAGAAGAGCGAAGGTGGTCTTGGACGGCTGTCCAAGACTCATTCAAGTCGGTAGCAACGCCAGGAGAGGCTATGAGGAGGTGGGTACGATGGCGGACACGCAAGGGAGATGGTAGGTTAGCCAAGCCTAGCACAGTTGCGTCGATAGCGAGGGGGCGGGCTAGTCGATGGCAGGCAAACAAAAGGGTCAAAAGATGGTACTCCAAACAATGGAATAGCAGAATATTGAAGGAACAGGGATTGAAAGAAAATTGAAAACTTACAGAAGCAGAAAAGCTGCAGCGACATTGTTGCAGCCGCATTCGAGCATACCAGGGCCCCCGTCCATCATCCCACATACCAGTATTAATAATGAGCCAGCTCCTGAGCGATCGAAGAGCCCCTTGGAGGGTGTCGCCAACGTCAAACGTTCTTAACGCTAGAGAGAGATGTACGCCGTGAGACTAGACAACCAGAGTTCACGAGGAACATCGTAGAGGAGACCGACAGGCACAGCGCCGTCCGGATTCTGTCCGAATTCACCAGGGTACTGCCGTCACGGCTCGGTCACCGTGCATTCGAACCTGCTCTCGTCGACTATGCAAACCGTTCCACCTGGCGGATCACTATTGATCTTTTGCTGGATATACGTCTTGCAGTCTTCTAGAAATATTCTAGGTTCAAGTTTCTCAAGAAATGCATGCGCTGACTGCCAGCACCTCCGGTAGAGCAAGTCATAGGTAAGTAACCGCGTTCTATACGTATCAGACGCATATCTAACATGGCAATTGTCTATGGATTAGGTTCTACTGCATGGACCTGTGACCTCTCATTGCGACCGGGTGAGTATATCTTCGACACCCGGCCACATACTCCTCTTCAGGCCGTCGGGCATCCTCCACACGTTTCTATATCATAGAGCGGACGGAATATGATGGGTGCTGGGTCTATGGATGGAAGTGAGTCCCTCTTGTGAGTTCTTTTTCATTTCTCACTTTGATATTCCCTCGTTGCCCCTTGTATTGCTTAGTTCTTCCCCGGTCTGGTCATACATATGCAGGCAGTCCAGGCCCTGATAAGTGAGCTCTTATTCTTTAGCATCCTTTATTACCTTTCCTTTCTTACATCTCATTGTTTTCCGCTGCTCCTCGGGCCTGATAGCACTCTCATTGCTTTGTGGCACTTCCAATGCAATAGGCTCACCAGCATCGCGCTTATGGCAGATCTTTGTGTCTCATGGGCACTGTAGTGCTACCAGAACCATTCTTTGTTGATTCCTTGATGTGAGAGCACTCTCCACTGCTGCTGCTATGCATTCTACAGCATGCATAATTGGACACAGGTGAGTATTCGCATATATGGCTATTGTATATGCACACAGAGGATCTCGAAACTGAGGTAACATATACTTGTAATATTCTATTAATTTATCGTATTTTTGTGATGCTGTATATGGTGGTGTGCGCCGCTGCCGTCAAAGACAATGAGCACGGCATTCACAACGGCGACGACGCTCGATAGGAGCGTCTAAGTGACGGCGCGTATATGTCAGAACCATCAAACGATATTTATGTATTTAATGCAATTTATTCCGTATTTTTACGACTACATGCAAGTGTTATAGCTGTGCTCATCGTCGGCGACGACAACGACGGGTCTACCGACGAGGCGCCGGAGAGGCGGGACGCAGCCCCGAAGAAGCGG